GAACCCGACCAACACCACTGGCCACCCCTGAAACCCCACACCAGGGAAACAGGGTTACAGGGACCAGGAGTGCCGCTCCTCAGCCCTGACCTACCCGCAGCAAACATCGCAAGAGGCCAGGGCCACTCCCAGACCCCAATATTTAAACTAATATGTCTAAACTAATATTTATTCGTCTTCTTCTAATATTAATCAATTTAACACACAATCCCCGGCAACGGCGCCAAAAACTTGTTCGTAAAATATTTTCACTATCCGCAAGTGTACGGTATAGCTGTAGTGAGTGGCGAGCAAGGTCGTATTCCACAGAGATTGTTGTCCAAATTAACCAAGTATCAAAATGTAAACGATTAAATATTATTTAGTCTAATGCAAATTTGAATGGTGATTTTATTCTAAACTAATGAATGATTGCAAAATAAATTCTAACACTAATGAAGGCTTGTTCTAAGATAAATCAAGAATGAGAAAATAGATTCTAGGCTATGCTTTCCTCGGGATTATTCTACCAAGATTAATTATTCTTTCAAACCTTATTTAATTCTACCATTTGTAGGGATAATCGCTAAAGTAATTTACACCTTTCTCTCGAACAAGTTAAATCGTAGATATTAATTGTTATCTATCTCCTCTCGGTCTCAAGATGAACAATCAACTCCCGTAAGCTCCTAAGATTCTAGTTCCCTCGCAAGATTCTATCAACCTCTCGGTCTGTTTAGTCTCTTACGTTATGAATTTCCCAATTCTAGCAATTAACTATCTCCTCTCGGTCTCAAGTCAATCACAAAATATGCATAAATACGGGCCCTTATATTCACACAATAAACAAAAGCATAAGAAATTGATAAACGAATGATAAACCGGAATGAATAAACAAAATCACTTCATAAAATAATCCGAGTACTCGCAAATCCTAGAATCCCTAAAAGGTTTAGCTACTAAACATATTCTTAAAACTCAAAATAAATATATTCATGAGTTCAATGAAGAAGAAAAAGAGAAAAGAAAGAAGAACTATTGTCGCCGTTAGTTCTCGGATCTTCAATCTTGACTTCCTCGAATCCCTCGTGTGTTTCGTGCTTTCTCTAGGCCTCCAATAGTGTCAAAAGTCCCAAAAACGAGTTCCTAAGGTCTGTTTTATACTGTAGGGCTATTCTGGGTCGAAAAAGGGAAGAAATCGCACAAGAATCCTATTCCCCGCTGAACTAGTCTGCGCGTCACACGAGTCGTGTCACATGCCACACGACTCGTGTGAGTTTTCTCAACGTTTTGGCAAACTTTCAGACTCACACGACTGGTCACACGACCGGGTCACACGAGTCGTGTGAGGCCACACGACCCGTGTGACAACCCACACGACCCGTGTGAAAAAGCCGTAGCTGCGTTTGTTATTTTCTCAACCCACACGACCCGTGTCACTACCCACACGAGTCGTGTGACCTCTTCTGCACCCGTTTTCGCCGTTTTTCGTCCCGATTCCATTTTCAACGCTTTTCCGGGCATATTTCCTGCAAAACCAACGACAAAAACACCTCTATCATAGATTAATAAATCAAACAAAATGGTGCACAATCACACGATAACCAAGGCCTAATATCACAATATATCACTCATAATGCATGAAAATATGATGAATGTCAACCACCACCCAGCAACACCTCGAAACCAGAGAGGCTAACGAGTCGCATCCACGACCGACACCTGACCACGGCGACAATCGACCTTGGACGGTCGTCCACCACTACCGACTCAAACTAACCAAGAGCAGCGCAGAATCGAGGCGAAGGCTGCGCGGCAAGGGCCAATCGTCGACATGGCGCCCGATTGCCGGCCGGGGAAGGCACACGCAAAGGAGGAATACGACAACTTCTGTGAAATGGAAGAAAAAAAAAGGGGGAGATAAATTAGGGGTTTTCAAGGAGTCAAACTTATATAGATAGAAAAATGTAAATAGAGTAATTAACCTAAAATTAAAAATACACAATTACTAGTTGAAAATTAACAAAGAAAAAGAAAGAAAATAGGACAGAACAGGAAATTTGAAAAGAAGCCCAATAAGATGAAATCGTCAATGGCAAAAGTAAAAACTAAAAAGAACGAAGAAAATGCATACACGCGCACACGACTATATATATATGAGTTTGCGGTCTTCGATATTCGTGGCGATTACTCTCAAGAATTCGCAGTTCCCAAAAAGTACCAAGAACAAATAAATAAATAAATTCCATTTATTTTCAATCAAATTTTTAGCAGCTATCGATCTTGTCTTCAGTAAATAAATTGGAAAAAACACACAAAAATCAAGAAAAGGAAAAAAGAAGGGACCCGTACGGCAATAATGCACAAAAGCCTCTTCGCTTTGCTTCTCAATTGCTGAACCGCCTGAACCCCAGCAACCGAAAAACAGAGTATCAGTAGAGGAGGTCAGTGTTTTTTTTCTCTTTTTTCTTTTTCTTTTTTTTTTTGAATTTTTTAGTTTTGCTGAAAGATATGATTTGTGTAATCAGATACATTCCTTTTCTTTTCACATCTCCTTTTCCTAATCTTTTTCCTCGTTTTAAGCGAGCTGGGGCCTCTTTTTTGTTGATTTTCTATTGGAAAAGGGTTGCCTTTATTGGGTAAGTATTGTTTTCTAGATCCAAAAAAAATCAAGAACTTGTTACCGGGCGCAAAGGGCCGTTCTTTTCAATCTGGATATTTGTATTCGTGTAATGTCGATCATGTTTTTTATGTTTCGTTTGCTGTATAAGTATCGATTAGATTTAGTATTGGCTGTAAGGAGTGTGTAAAAATATGTTCTTTTGTAAGGTTGTCCGATTATTCTTGTCTGTACATTTTTGGTGTGTGGATGTTGGAGTTGCTTGAGAGCCTAAATTTTGGACTTGTAACTCAGTTAAAATCAATGTCGACCTCGGCCGGGAACGGGTCCCACCAATCCCCCCTCTCTCTGAATTTGTTGTATATTTAAAAGAAAAAAATAATTAGAGGCTGCAATTACTTGGTTGGTTAAAGTTGGCAGCATGATGTGAGTTGGTTGGGATGTTGGTCATATGGTATTTTGGGTTCAATAGCTTATTTTGTTGTGTTGCTTTCATAATCTTCTTTTTTAATTTTGCCTTTTTCTTGTATGCTTTTGTTGCCCATGATGGTTCTAAGAGGACTTCATTTTGGGTAGTCAGCAGTTAAACTAAAATTTGTGAAAATTTGTATGTGAAACGACGCATGTGGGGTTTGCTTTAATATATAGTGAAATCTGTAAGTGACGACTGAGCTTGGAAGCTACTTCATTAGCTACCGGATTTTGAACTGTTTTTGTCTGTTACTCAGATTTTATTAACTGTTTGTTATTAATCTGTAGCTCAAGAACAATTTCTGCAATTCTTGCTTCTGGGTCGAGCCAATTATTATTTGCAAACTATTTTCTCAGAACAAATAATTCTCTTTTCTTAGACCGTCTTGCTTGTTATAGTATCTAAGTGTTTTGTGCTGTGATCCTACAAATTTTCTTTTACGGTCAAACATAATCATTATACTCTTCATTCATACTCTTTACAGAAGGAAACTCAGGAATAAATAATACAAATGGGTAAAGACCCTTATTATGACGAGCTTGGGTACCGTAAACCGGGACTTTTGAAAGATCAAGTTAAATTGGTCAAAAGGAAGGATACTGACCGCTATGAGATTGTCCCAATTCCTGATAATTTATCTTTCGAGAAAGGCTTCTTTGTCGTTGTCCGCGCATGCCAGCTGTTGACACAGAAAAATGAGGGGTTATTAGTGATAGGTGTAGCTGGACCCTCGGGTGCTGGGAAGACCGTTTTTACCGAGAAAATGCTTAATTTTATGCCGAGCATTGCTGTTATTTCAATGGACAACTACAATGATGCAAGTCGAATAATCGATGGGAACTTTGATGGTATGATATTTTGTTCTAATGCATCAAGATTCAAGAACCTATATTTCTTAATTTTGTGCTGTTTTTTCTATAGGAGCTGTTTATAGACGTGTTCTGTCCTTTCACTTTATTATTTATCTTCTTTTTTATTGTCCTTTTTTTGAGTCTGGATGTGATGTTGATATTTGAAGATGTATGTTTTAGTTGGCAAATATATGCTGTAGGTGGTACAATTTATGGAGTTTCTACTTGCAGAGCATTTTTTATATGGAGATGACTGATTTTCTTAATATTAACTTACAACATTTCGTGCATGTAGCATAAAGTACACTATGACATGTAATATAGTGATGGGGTCTGAGTTAAAAGATGAAACTTTTTGAGGATGGTGCAGTTGATCAGACTATGAAAGTTATTATGTCAACTAATCAATTTATAATGAAAACTTAAAATATGAGAAGTTTCGGCTACTATCAGCCTACTATCCTTTCTCTTCTTCAACCTAAGCCCTCTCCTTTTTAAAGCAACCTTAAGAACACATTCTTCTTTTTGGCCAACGAATTTTATATTTACACACACATTAAGCTAAAAAAAGTTCTAATCATTTTTGAACTAATTTTTTTTCCCTTCCAGATAGAGTTGTGAACTCATTAAGCTTACCGTCTTTGTATATCACTATAACATTTTTTGGCCAACGAATTTTATATTTACACACACATTAAGCTAAAAAAGTTCTAATCATTTTTGAACTAATTTTTTTTCCCTTCCAGATAGAGTTGTGAACTCATTAAGCTTACCGTCTTTGTATATATCTGCATTTTTATATATATCTTTTTATCTAAATACACTATAACATTGTTTGCTAATACACTATCATGCAAATAGATCCACGCTTGACGGACTACGACACTTTGTTGGAAAACATTCATGATTTGAAGGCAGGGAAGCCCGTTTCTGTCCCGGTTTATGATTTCAAATCTAGCTCCCGAACAGGATACAGGTCCGGACCCTTCACTGTTATTTCACTCTATACATTCTGATTCAAATCATTTGTGGGTTTTATTAATTTATTCGATTTGTCCTTTTCCCCCACTTAAAAAATTTTGTTTTCTTTCAAATATTTTTTCGGTGGTGTTTTTTGGTTTTTGGTTATCAAAATCTCTCTCAAATGCTTTGTTTTAATTGCCTGATAACAGGACACTTGAAGTCCCGACCTCCCGAATCGTGATTATCGAGGGAATCTATGCCTTAAGCGAACAGCTTCGGCCTTTGCTCGATCTTAGGGTATCTGTGACAGGTGGCGTTCATTTCGATCTTGTCAAACGGGTTTTGCGCGATATACAGCGTGCCGGGCAAGAACCTGAAGAAATTATACACCAAATATCTGAAACAGTTTGTATTCTTAAATTTTAATCCGTATACTTAAATAACAACGTTAAATTTTGCATAATTTTCCTTGCCGGAGGTTTTGAGTTGGACTTTCTTCTATAGGTGTACCCAATGTATAAGGCTTTTATCGAGCCTGATCTCCGAACTGCTCATATAAAGATTATCAACAAATTTAATCCCTTCACTGGATTTCAGTGTCCTACTTATATACTCAAGGTGACTTTCGGACCTATATATATATATGATAATAAATTCATGCTTCAGTTATAAGATTTTTACAGTTAATTACTTAAACTGTTTGGTGCTCTTGCTTGTGTAGTCACTGAGGAATGTAGATGTTGAGCAAATCAAGACTTTGATGTCTGAAGAACATGTGGAACATACGGAACAAACGTACGATATATATCTTCTGCCACCTGGCGAGGATCCAGAGACTTGCCAATCGTATCTAAGGATGCGTAATAAGGATGGAAAATACAATCTCATGTTTGAGGTTAGTGTCTGAGAATCTAATCACTGCTGAAATTTGGGTGGCTAAATCTGTCGACAACACAAGGAAGATTGTGCAAAAATTTAATTTTTTAACTAGGATGTTCTCTCTCCCTCTCTCTCTGTCTCTCTCTCTCTCTTTATCTCTCTCTCTCTGTCTCTCTCTCTGTCTGTCTCTCTCTCATGTTTTTCCATTTTTTTCCCTAGGAATGGGTAACTGATCCTCCATTCGTGATATCTCCAAGAATAACTTTCGAAGTAAGTGTTCGGCTACTAGGTGGACTAATGGCCTTGGGTTACACAATAGCAGCAATACTTAAAAGAAGCAGCCATGTATTTTCTGATGATAAGGTCTGCGTGAAAATCGACTGGCTCGAGCAGTTAAACCGTCACTATGTTCAGGTAATTCATTTTTTTCCCTCTATATTATTATTATTAACTTAACTTTTTTTTTTTATTATTATTATTTGTTTTGTATGTGGCAAATTATAGGTACAAGGTAGAGACCGGCTTGTTGTAAAACATGTTGCGGAACAATTGGGTTTGGAGGGTTCGTATGTCCCGAGAACTTATATCGAACAAATACAGCTGGAGAAACTTGTGAATGAAGTTATGGTACGTTTTTCTTTTTTTTCTTTTTTTAATCATTTTTCAAGTGTATGCTAGTTTCTGATTGGATAATTTTTTACAGGCATTGCCTGATGATTTGAAAACGAAGCTTAGCATAGATGACGACTTTGTGTCGAGCCCAAAGGAAGCACTATCTCGGGCCTCGGCAGCACAATTCAAGAATCATAGAAGGTGCAATTTGT